TCGGAGTTAACTTGATTTAAATTTATCATTTACAATAATTTTCAAAACTCAAGTCTCAAGTTTCATTTTATTTTTTTTTGCACATAGTTAATTGTACTTTTATTTAACAAATGAATAAAAGTGACTAAGAAGAAATTCATACAATATTCTTGATAACCACTGTGATTGATTACTGAGTAAATACACAAAAAAAGAGGCATATAACATTTCAGCAGTGTTTTATTACGTACAAAGCTTGACATAGTACAGTTATTTAAAACTTAGTAATGATGAACGATTAACGTTAGGTTGACAATTTTTTATTTTATCGCTGTATCGTAGATCATTAATTTTAATTGCTTATTAAAAATTTAGTTTTATATCTTTTTTTAATAATTTTAAGACTTTAGACTTAAAATTCTATTGCTTTGTTTGCAAAGCTCGCAGCATTTATTAAGATACAATAGTATGATTAACAACGGCAGAAAAGTGGAACTCCCTCCTGCTCAAGCAGATTGGCTCCCTTTACTGCGCTCTTCCTCTTGTACCAAACAAAAATAATGTTTTACTTACGTTTGACGACGGCATTGTAAAAAGTGAACCATAAGATGCCCTAAAACTTTACTTAGTGAACAATTGAACAATTATTAGTGCATGGGTAGGGTTGTTTAATTATCTTAACATTTTTTTGAACTTTTTGTCAAAAACAAATAAGACGAAAGAGGTCATATCCCATATAAGCCTATGTTTATCACATTTGTATGGTTCTTATGAAAAACATCTGTAACAAATATAGAAAATATTCACGTACGTTCAACGTATTCCAGATTATGCAAGATACTTAATGTCATTATAATCTGTGCATTTTATTATTGTTCCTAAGCTTTCTTAACCTACTTATTTATGCTCTTTAACTAACTAATGTACATAAACCAAAGAATCTTTTGGTTTGGCCTCAGTATTGTTTGTCACAGAGGCCACGGTGTGAATCGTAGGTACCTGATAACTACTAATCATTTGTTTTTATCTTATTATTGTACATAATAGTTTGTAAATAAAAAGCCACACAAATTTACCGCATTTTTTAAGCTCGGGAAAGGGCTGCAAAGCTGCGTCATGTATATTTAACAGTTTGTTGAGTCTAAGGGAGAGCATCATCCAATAAGATGCTGAAAACACTTTTAATTTTACTCTACTACATTTGACTGTCACTAACACACTTCTTTAGCAGCTTCAACTTTTGAAAGTGGCAAATATAATCATGATAGCCGAACCGTACTGCTTGAATCTTTCTTCGGTGGATACTCAAGCCACTTACAAAATTGACAAATTCAATCTAGATCCTAGTTCACCTTTTGAACCAGTAAAGTAAGATCTTTGTAAGATTTATGAATACACAGAGTAGAGTCATCTGCTTAGATAAGGTGCTTACAGTGTTTAAGAACCGAAAGCCTGTCGTATGTATTCAGGAAAATAATGAGTGAGCAAAGAGAGATATTCACCTTGTATGACTTCCACAAAAAATGAACAGTGACCTTTATCTTTATTTCCTAGGTGTTCTCAGTCTTATGGATGTTATTTACCATGCACACCTGGGTGATGTGAAAATTATGACGCTTTCTGAAGCCTAACTTAAAGAAATAAATTGGAACAGTGCACTTAACTGAATCCAAAGCTCACTCTGCCATCACAGATTCAAGGATCTTTAAAGGTGCTAATAAAAAGTGTCGTAGGTGGTTCATTTTGGTTAGATCTTGGGAGATATTCAATGCTTGAATGTAAGACGCATAACTGCTATGCGTCAAAATTCAGAAACTCGGCAAACTGCATAAAGCAATTGAGAATGTATAAACGTACTGGGAAGATTACTGAAATATATTTTTCGACTTAGTTAACCAGGATCCTGTTAAATCGGATTGCGTTTAATTCGAGAAAGTTAAGTGCCTTTGCGATGCATTCTATATGACAACGAGAGAGAGAGATAAGTAATACGAGAAAAATAAAAGTGGCTTTCTTGTAAACCTCGTACAGTAAGGAGCAACTTTTTTAGCATCTCCGTACAGTAACATCCAATTAATGGTATCAATTGATCTCGTCTCAACAAGCAGGAAGAATAGATGGCCCCTGTTCCCTGAACAAAATTTATATCTAGCTCACTAACGCAACATTATATTTTTGATGCACTTTAAAAAATTTCTGGCCTTGGCGTATAATAGGGGGATGTTGCACAACGCGTCTGAAGACTCATTTAGTACATTCAAGCCGAGGCTGGCTCCACTTTCTTAGAGTGACTGACTGGACGGGAGACAGTAGTCATACAGCTACCGCAGCTTGGCCTGACTCTCGCCCAGTAAACACCCACTTTTGTTTGCAGATCAGTATAATACAGAAACGTCCATGTATAAGTATATAAGCAGTATGACATACGCGTGCGCTGACACACACATAAATATGTATACATACAAACTTGCATGCTTATATATAACTCATATCAGTGCACAGAAAAGTGGGTGATTACTAAATAAAAGTCAGGCCAAGCTGCGCCAAAGTCAGCGCCGTATTATGAACCCACCTGCGGCCATGCATAGTGGCTTGATTTGGACCACGCGTATTAGCTGGGGGCGGCCCATTTTCAATTTCTACTCGGGGTAGGCATTATTTTTGTGAAGTATTTGTGATATTCAATTCAAAATCCAGCATATGGCAAATAAGAGTCAAATACCATATATAGCTGTACTATTAGTATTGGAAAACACCACCGTATATAGTTATACTACCAGTGTTGGCAATAATACTAGCACAAGTAACAGTGTGTCGTTTGCTTGATAAAAAATTTATTTACGTCACAAGTCACTTAAACAACCTTGCTCCATGATATATACAGACTTTTGTCATTTTTTGGTGCACTACATAATGTTGAGCCACTTTCATAGTCTTTTACGCAAAACTTTTTGACTATTTTAATTAATTTATATTCAAATCAATCAATACGAATTTTAATATAACTTAACATTTACATTTATTAATTTTTTCCCTTCCAAAATGTTAACTGGCTCTAGAGTCAAGGTGCTTGTCTGCTTGGTGTTTTTTTCTATGCAACACCTGGTGCAAGAGAGGGAAAATGACACAAAATGTTAACAAAAATTTACAGTATGTAATAAAGACAATGGGACCACACGACATGTACATCTTACACCGTGATCTCCATTGTTTTGTTGAGCACCTAGAAGGTGGCAATTTTTTTGCACGGTGGCTTGGATGGTGGCATACTTGTGTAGGATGAGTGGTCGGGACTGATGATTATGACAGGTATAAGCGTAGACGCAGGTCACGACGACAGCATTTTAGCATGCCTTCTAATGTGCATCCCGACTATCCAAACATGTAGAGGCTCTCGAGATGTTACCCGAGGCTCGAAACCAAGCCATACAGACATAAGAATAAAGTGCGCTTAACCACCCACAAACCTGTACTAAGCTGCGTCCCACGGTGTGAAAGATAACGCTGTAAAAATTTCTTGTGTGTCTCTCTCTAACCCCTGTGATTGGAAAGAGACACACCGACAATCTTTGCACCGGTCTCTCTCGCACTAATGAAAAACTTTAACGGACAGGGTTATGTGGGTTTAGTGCTCTCTATTCTTATATCTCTATGGACCAAGCCCGACTCGAATGAACTATAATATTCGATCTTCTAACTGACCCTATACTACATTTGCCTGTAGGGCCTATAGGCAAATATCTAGCGCGCTCTTGCGCTGCTTAGTACTACCTCGCAATTCACTGCGACTTACGTGCTTATCCAAGTCATCTAGTCATCCCTCTCGCACTTGCGTATGCCTCGAGATACGCTGCGACTCGCGCGCTTTCTCGTCTGCACTCGCACATGCTAGGCAGTTCCCTCGTATCTGCTCGAGCACTCGCGCACACCTGGCGATTCCCTCGTGTATTCCAGGATTAAAGCGGACTTGGCGATATATCGTGCTGTATCTCGTACTGCCCCGTGCTACCTCACGTTTTCTCGTACGGTCTCAAGCTTACTCGCGATACTCAGTGATACCGCAGCTTGTCTCGCACTACTTTTTGCTGCCTTCTCTGTGCCAGTAACATACATACGTGTACATTTGATTGAGCTTTCGAGAAGTTTTTTTTGTTAGTTTTGGAAGGGTTAGCGTCTTTTGAAAAAACTATTCAAGTCACTTCGCCCTGCTGGCCTTCCGTGTAGGCCCTGCTGTATTGCTGTTATCTGCGAACGCACTTTACCAGCTCTGCTTTTTTTGTCCTTCCTGCGGCTTTTGACATTTGTCTGCTTGTATTGTAAATGATGCTGTCACTGGCTCTATTGATTTTAATGCTGTTGTTGTCTGAGCTGCGTCACCAGCTCTGCTGACTTTAACCGTTGTTCTCTTCCTGCTCTACCATGTCGGGTATGGACGTTTCGTAAGAAATCGACCTAGTAAACATTTTCGTGATACCTGTTTGCAGAACTAGTTTGCCAATCTGATTGATCCGAGCACTAATCTGCATCCTACGGGAGTGGGCTTTGGGCAAGCTTCGTTTGTTATAGGTTAGATAGATTTTAAGCATAGATATTTTTCGTAATAAAGGAAAATAATATTATTTAATGGGTCACTTATTATTATTTGTTTAATATTCTATGTTAAACAGTTTCATATTCTGAAAACCAGACATGGATCTGCCCAGCACTGCAGAAAATTCATGAAATTATCCAAGGTAGAAGTTATTTCGGGGAGTACCATGACTTATTTCCTCTTTTAAAAAAGCATGAGGGTCGATTTTTTGATTATTTGTGAATGTTAAAAAGCTGTTTCGATTACATCCGATTGAGCATAAAAAGGGAATGCTCACGTAACTGGTGTAATTTTCACACTCATCCTATTTTACCACAAGAAAAACTTGTTGTAACATTACGGTAAAGCAAATAATTGACGTTCTATTGAAATAAACAAGCAGATTAATCTCCAAAAATACATATGTTTTTTTTAAGGTTTTTGATAACAGGAGCCTCTTACAAGCCACTGTCTTTAGCATTCCGAATAGGGGCTTTGAAAATAAGCAATATTGTCCAAGAAACAATGGACAGCATTTGGAATGTCTTGTTTCCAATCCACATGCCAATACCAACAAAAACACAGTTTATTAAAATTGCTGAACAGTTTTACCAAAAACGAAGTTTTCCACACTGTTTTGGAGCATTGGACGCAAAGCACATCCAAATAAAATGTCCGCCACATTCTGGTTCTGTATATTACAACTACAAGAAGTTTTACTCGGTCGTTCTGCAAGCAGTTGTTGACGCGGATTACAAATTTATAATTATAGATGTTGGAGGCTATGGACAGCAGCATGATAGTTCCAGTTTTAGGGCATCTAGCCTGTACAAGGGATTTAAATCTAAAAAGTTAAAAATACCCGTGGATACAGAGCTACTTGGATCGACAGTTATTTTGCCATTTGTGTTCATCGCTGATGGTGCATACCCACTGATGAAGCATATAATCAAGCCCTATCCTGGTCATAATTTACCAAGAGAAAAAATAATTTTTAATAAGAAACTATCTGCTGCAAGAATGGTTGTAGAGTGTGCCTTCGGTCAATTGGCCAAGAAATTTTTCATTTTCAACAAAACTATAGAGCAATCGCCTATATTTGTAAATAATATCGTTAAATGCGCGTGTTTGTTGCATAATATAATCATAGAAAAATGTAATATCATCGAATCTGAAAGAGAAGAGCCTTCATCAGGATTCAAAATTGATAATATAAAAGAAAATAATGAGGCCATTGAAGCTCTAGGTAGTGAAGTACGACAAGAATTTATGCAGTATTTTGTACATAAAATTTGTTAATTGTAAACCTTTGGAATAATAAATATAGACGTTTTGAANAAAAATAATTTTTAATAAAAAAATATCTACTGTAAGAATGGTTGTAGAGTGTGCCTTCGGTTAATTGGCTAAGAAATTTTCTATTTTCAACAAAACTATAAAGAAATCGCCTAAATTTTTAAATAATATCGTTAAATGCGCGTGTTTGTTGCATAATATAACTATAGAAAAATGTAATATAATCGAATCTGAAAAAAAAGAGCCTTCATCAGCATCCAAAATTAATGATATAAAAGAAAATAATGAGGCCATTGAAGCTCTAGGTAGTGAAGTACGACAAGAATTTAGGCAGTATTTTGTATACAAAATTTGTTAATTGTAAGCCTTTGGAATAATAAATATAGACGTTTTGAATTTTGTAATTAAAGTTTATGAAATTCAATACCTGTTCAAATGACCTTATTAATATTACATAACTTGATTTATGCTTAAACCTAAAAATATATTTTTTTGTTAAAAAGCTGGAACTTGAAAGCTACATGGGCTGTGATGCAACTTTTTATAAGTAAAGTACGTATTTCAACAAACATTTGGTAGTTATAATATTAGCTGATTGAACGATTTGCTCACAACTTGTGTTACTAAATATAGTCACCGCAACATTGAGTTTTATTCTATCAGAAAGATGTAATTAAAATTTATAGTGAAACACTTGGCGTTCAAGGTCAACTCAGACCGCAAATTTGATACTTTGTCGATTTATAGTATACACGTAGATGATTGAGTCAAATATCATTTTGTAGTGATTTAACCGAGTGACACGTTTCTTTACATGTTAAATGAAAAATACTTTTCCAACAATGATGAGAATTGAGAAACAATTCGTCGAGAAACAGCAACTCACCATAGCATTAAGTGATTAATCATTCGAAGGCTCATATTCACCTTCCTTTTATTTTTTATTTTAGGTAATTACGTTTATATAGGAATTTGGGTAATATTAAGTATAAACGAATATATTGCAATGAAAAACTATCTTTTTATTATTAAACTGTGTGTTTACAGTATGACTCATCTTTAAGTAATAAGCATAAGACATGAGTAGGTACAGACTAATTTTCATATAAGTTATCTTTATACAACTTATAAGTAACGTTTATACTATTAATTGAGTTTTAAAAACCAAAATCTTGTTCATAAAAGCATAAGAATAACTTAAATAATTAAATTAAATTAATTAAGTAAAGAACTTTAAAACAGAGGCTATCTGTTTATGCTTGACTGAAAAAGACTTGAACCATAAAATTGTTAGTTAAAGTTATGCCTGCTACCAGGTTTGTATCATAAGTTAACCATCTTCGTATGATTCTATCAAAAAATATGATTCAAATAAAATATAAAATGCAAGTAACTGATTAATATAACACAACTTGTGAACGTAAGTTTTACACAAATAAAGCATGCACGTAAAAGGTATCGATTTTATTCTTTTTTGCAATTATTTGTGATGACAGGAAAGTCATCACTGTCATCGTCGATGACGATGACATCGTAATCATCATATTTCCTGCTAACATTCAAACGTCATCCTTCACCTTTAGAATTACCGTTGCGGCCGTGTACTGCATAATAAAAGAAAACGTTTTTATACAAAAAAAATATTCAGACAGAGAACAAATCTAAATTTATGTACAATTTATTAAATTTATTACCTCCAGTCGAGAGAGCACAAGATAGTTGTTGTGACACTGGCTTTGCATGAGAGCGTTTGCAGGGGCTGATATATGGAGTTCGATACTCTGATTTTATTTTAGATGCACAATGGTGAGAGGAACAATCGTGTAGGGCATGGTGCTCAATTTTTTCATATTGCAAGTGAGCATAAGACTGACAATCTGGTGGAAAACGCTGTTCAGACTTAATCTTTTGCGTGCTATTGTAACAGAGACATTTGGGTGGAGCAGAGTACTCAGACTTTACCTCTGGTATACTACAACGAGAAGTTCCACGCCTTATCCTTAAATCCACAAGAATAACATCTAAAAATAAATTACATGTATTACAGAGAATAAAAAGATAAAACAGAAATTCGACAACAACGTACCATTATCATCTTCGTGGCTTGTAAAAGCATAACGTTTTACAAGAGTAGCCATCTCTATCTGCAACTCGATTTTCTTAAAGTCAGTGACGAGAGCAGTGTAAGGAAAAAGTGTTTTAAAAAAGGCTATATCTTCTTTGTCGTCAAAGTTGTTGGGTAAAGAACGATTCAGATGACCCTTGAAGTTGCTACTCTGCCTTTTGGGAGAGTCAACTTTGAATGCGTAACGTTGCACTAAGTCGTTCATGTCAGAACGTAAGCAGAGTTTTAGCCGACCCGTAACTCACTGAGTGTACTTCAGCAAAGTTTTAAAGTATGCCATGTCCTCGTTTTCTACCGTATCGATACTAATGGATGCTGACTCTGGTAAAGAACGATGCACTCTTGAATCAGGCTTTTGATGTACGACGTCTGCTAGTTCAGTGGTACTGGCCGATTAAAAAGGTTCCGTAGCTTCCAATAGATGACCGTAAACTGGAACATTGTCGCTCTTGTAATCAAAGTCATCATTCTCGACGTCATCAAAAAAATCAGCTGGTATATTTCCAAAGCTTGAAGCTGCTTTGACAGATAATTTAGCAAATGCCATACTCTTGTACAGTGGCCATGATGATCGATAATTAGATGCTGCAGCTCCTGACTTTGCTATAGGCTGCTTTTGTACCTCTTTTGAAAGCTGCAATCTTAATGCCTTCCACTTATTTCTGTATGTTGTTTCTGTGTACAAAAAATAAAGAAAAATAATAATAAATTTGAGTTCAACACAAACAAAATCGGATATTTTCACTCATCTATATCAACAACTATGCTCCATAGCATAAAAAAGTGGAAAGTTTAAAAAAGTATCAAATAAAAGCATACACTCGTTGTATTCAGGTGACTTATCAATAACTATATTTGCTAATGCTGTAAGGTAAGTATCAACTTAAGTCTTTAACCTCAAAGGACATTTTAAGTGACGTTATTAAATATAACACAATGTACACATACTTTCTAGCTTTGCCTAGGTGAAGTGCCGCCTCGTCCCACGCTTTTGGTAGCGCAAAAGAATTTTTATGCTGCACGTGATTCTTTTGCCATAAAATTGGCCTGAGTTTGATTTGAGTAATCAAATCTTCTTCCCATGAAGAAACCTCCAGGAAAGAAGTTCAGTAATCTCTGGGTATCACGAGAATTTACTAGAAAGTTCGAGCAGACTAAGATTGCACGTAATAAGAAGAGGTTATTTTAAATGGTTTTTTTTAAAGACGCTAACCCTTTCAAAACTGACAAAAAAAACTTCTCGAAAGCTCAATCAAATGTACTCGTATGTACTTCTCTAGCACGGAAAAGGCAGCAAAAAGTAGTGCGAGACAAGCTGCGGTATCACTGAGTATCGCGAGTAAGCTTGAGACCGTACGAGGAAACGTGAGGTAGCACGGGGCAGTACGAGGTACAGCACGATATATCGCCAAGTCTGCTTTAATCCTGGAATGCACGAGGGAATCGCCAGGTGTGCGCGAGTGCTCGAGCAGATACGAGGGAACTGCCAAGCATGTGCGAGTGCAGACGAGAAAGCGCGCGAGTCGCAGCGTATCTCGAGGCATACGCAAGTGCGAGAGGGATGACTAGATGACTCTGATAAGCACGCAAGTCGCAGTGAATTGCGAGGTAGTACTAAGCAGCGCGAGAGCGCGCTAGATATTTGCCTATGGGCCCTACAGGCAAATATAGTATAGGGTCAGTTAGAAGATCGAATATTATAGTTCATTCGAGTCGGGCTTGGTCCATAGAAATATAAGAATAGAGAGCGCTAAACCCACATAACCCTGTCCGTTAAAGTTTTTCATTAGTGCGAAAGAGACCGGTGCAAAGATTATCGGTGTGTCTTTTTCCAATCACAGGGGTTAGAGAGAGACACACAAGAAATTTTTACAGCGTTATCTTTCACACCATGGGACGCAGCTTAGTACAGGTTTGTGGGAGGTTAAGCGCACTTTGTTCTTATGTCTGTATGGCTTGGTCTCGAGCCTCGGGTAACATCTCGAGAGCCTCTACATGTTTGGATAGTCGGGATGCACATTAAAGGGCATGCTAAAATGCTGTCGTCGTGACCTGCGTCTACGCTTATACCTGTCATAATTATCAGTCCCGACCACTCATCCTACACAAGTATGCCACCATCCAAGCCACCGTGCAAAAAAATTGCCACCTTCTAGGTGCTCAACAAAACAATGGAGATCACGGTGTAAGATGTACATGTCGTGTGGTCCCATTGTCTTTATTACCTACAGTAAATTTTTGTTAACATTTTGTGTCATTTTTCCTCTCTCGCACGAGGTGTTGCATAGAAAAAAACACTAAGCAGACAAGCACCTTGACTCTAGAGCCAGTTAACATTTTGGAAGGAAAAAAATTAATAAATGTAAATGTTAAGTTATATTAAAATTCGTATTGATTGATTTGAATATAAATTAATAAAAATAGTCAAAAAGTTTTGCGTAAAAGACTATGAAAGTGGCTCAACATTATGTAGTGCACCAAAAAATGACAAAAGTCTGTATATATCATGGAGCAAGGTTGTTTAAGTGACTTGTGACGTAAATAAATTTTTTTTTAAGCAAACGACGTACTGTTACTTTTACTAGTATTATCGCCAACACTGGTAGTATAACTATATACGGTGGTGTTCCCCAATACTGATAGTACAGCTATACATGGTATTCGACACTTATTCGCCATATGCTGGGTTTTGAATTAAATTTCACAAATACTTCACAAAAATAATGCCTACCCCGAGTAGGAATTGGAAATGGGCAGCCCCCAGCTGATACGCATGGTCCAAATCAAGCCACCAAGAATGGCCGCAGGTGGGTTTATAATACGGTGCTGATTTGGCGCAGCTGGGTCTGACTTTCATTCAGTAATCGCCCACTTTCTT